TCATGACCTGACCCGAAGGCAGACGCTTAACCACTGAGCCACCCAGGTGCCCCACTTATTGATTTTCTTAAGTGTAGTCTTCAGTTTCCTTCCTACACTGGTACATTCTTGAGGCCTTCTATAAGTTGCCTCTTTCTACAATGAGAGGTGACTGCATTTACTGGTGTGTGACATATTTATGGCATTTAAAAGATTTGTGGCATACTTTTTGATCTTTGAGTGAGAATTGTTACATAACTGTCACTTGTCATTATGGGAACATCCAGCTGTGAAAAAAGGATTTAAATATAATCAAGTACTCCAACTTAGAACAAAATCATATATTTCTTTGTTGTGAATAAGAAGATTTAGCTACTGTAGCTTGCATCCTACTAAGCATGTACTTGTTGGACGTTTTGTGTTAAATTAGTCTCTATGATTGGAAATTCTGTTCACTCCTCCACTCTAACAGGTCAGCGTTGTGCTGTGTTGCAGTTGTCTCAACAAACCACAGGGAACTGTTCCATGCATTTAGCCAATAGCAATACCTTCATTGATCAATAGGAAATTATAACAGAGATTATATAGGAGCACATCATATTTACAGAGGAAAGGGAAGAGAGTGTAGGTGGCCCTTCCGTCTGCATGAAAGGCTTCAAAGATGATAATGGCAGAAAAATACAGGGTAATAATTAGTGTCTGTGCTATTTACCCTCTTCTTTATTTCCTCTGGTAGAGCTTCTGCTCTCCTTAAAGCTTTAGGTGGCATGAAGGAAAACTACCATTTGACCTAAGTGAATATAAACAATTCTAAAATGTTCCATGTTTAGTTTTTTTTGCAGCTATTACTGTGCTGCCTATAGTGGGATAGGGGACAAACCTCGAGGAAAATAATTGCTGGAGGAAATGAAAGAGCAAAAAGAATTATCCTGATTTCTTTTTATTTTTATCCCCTACTGGGAACTATCTCCCCCCACCCCGTCATCCATATAGGTCCCCATGGGACTGCTTTATTCTTCTATGACCCTGTCATTATGGCCACAGGGTTTTTTTTGTCAGAGGTATGCACCCGACACAAGTTGGGTCAATTTTAGTACCTGGCCTCCTGGTTGGTCTGGGGCAGGATACCTTATTTAAATAGTGTTAATGACACCCCACCTTTTTTGGAATTTGTGGACTCAGGACCCAGAAATTTGGCAGAATCTGTGAGCCACAGAGCTTGGAATTTCTCAGGGGTCATGTTTTCCACCATAGGGATAAAGTTACTCTGTGGTGAGCAAGAAAAATGAAGCCAACATGCACAGAGAGGGGTAGAAAAAAGAGGCAGAAAGTGTAGTGATAGCATTCAGGCCCCCAAGTTCAGCCGATACTGAGGCCCAGCTTTATTTCTATACTTACATCTTTATAATTAACTTTCCATTTACCTTAAGCTAGTTCAAGCTGAGTTGCTCTCATTGGCAAAGTTACCAGAGCAAATAACTAATATTATAACTGTTTCCATGACATTATGATTCATGAAAGAAATGCAATATTAATGGTTTTAACTAGATTTTTCATTAGATTCTTATATCCAGCTACATCTTAGATAATTGCAACCGCTAACAAAGCTTAAAGTTTAAAAATGTCTCTTTTGCTCAAAGACTCAAAATCCCTGGGTAACATAATTTAATGCCTACTAAATTTTCCAAGATGTATTTTTTATATAGGTAATTGTTAAGTCTCCATTTCTATATATGCAACTATATATCGCTAGATAGTATTTTTTTTTTCATTCTTTTAGTGACTTTGGTCTTTTTCAATTGAATAGCTTAAGTTAAATAAACGAAGGTTCCAACTTTGAAAATAATTTGTTTCTAAAGAGTAAATTGGGAACTTTTATAAATTGGAATATACTTTTCCATCAAGGTATTATTGCTATTAATGGTGGTAGGTGATTTTGGTTGGCACATTAACTAATGCAGGTGACATTACTTTTCACTCTCCCTTTGAGTTGGCCTTTCCACATAATCTCAGTACTTTCTTTACTAATGTTTTAGCCACACTGCTGGAAGGCACAAGCTTTGTTGCCCTCCTGGAAGTCAACTATCACTTTAAATAATATTTCTATGAAATATTAAGCTGAACCTTAAAATACCAAGAACACATTTATATTTCCGAATCACAAAAAAGGGAATTACTTTGACTTCTTTTATTTTTCTTTTCCCATATCAGTCCCTATCTCCACAACATATGGTGGGAAAATTAGGTAATTGCTTGAACTGCATGTTTGGAAACTATTTGGCAAATTTATTAATAAGGAAGAATGAAGAATTTAAAATGCAGCAGTTCTTGAATATCCCCTAGTGCATAAAGGTATATAGACTAAACATAGTTTAGAGGTATAAGGTCAAAATTAGGAAAAATGTCAGTAGGTAGGATGGGTAATTAATAAAATGTAAAGCATTTAAATTAAAATTGACACTTCCCAAAATTAAAAGTGTCAAACCCATAGCATACTTTAGAAATAGGAGTATATATGTATAAGAAGATAAATCTTAATTCCAAGTGGCCACTAAGCAAACTTAGCAGCTATATGAAATGTTGGAAAGTTAAGGTAAGCCATATGATATTGTTCATCACTAATCTCATAGAAAACTTCCAATTAGAAATGTGGAGAACACAGTTTTGTTTTGTGTTTTTAAAGGTAATGTTGGCAGGGGAGTTCTGTATTCTAATCTGAGGGAAAATGTCATCAGTACTGAGTAGCCTTGGTCTAAATTCCCAGATTTGGGCGCCTGGGTGGCTCAGTCGGTTAAGCGACTGCCTTCGGATCAGGTCATGATCCCGGGGTCCTGGGATCGAGTCCCGCATTGGGCTCCCTGCTCTGCGGGGAGCCTGCTTCTCCCTCTCCCACTCCCCCTGCTTGTGTTCCCTCTCTCGCTGTGTCTCTCTCTGTCAGATAAATAAATAAAATCTTTAAAATAAATAAATAAATAAATAAATTCCCAGATTTGACAAGTTTGAGACTCAAGTTCACTATACATACACAAATTAATTTTCTGAGCCAACTGTGGTGCTATTAACCTGGGAATGGAAGCTCATATAACTTGGTCATATATACAGTAACTTGTGTATTGGTGATGAAATAATGATTAAGTTTTTCTGGCTTTCTATACAAAATTCTTAAAAAGGTTGAACAATTGGATTACTCAGAGCCAGTCAGAAACCATGAACTCAGAACTGTCAGTTTCAAGTTCAAACTCATGCTTTTGAGTTCAAGACTTTTTTTTTTTTTTAAGATTTTATCTATCCATTTGACAGAGAGAGAGAGCGAGCACAAGTAGGCAGAGTGGCAGGCAGATGGAGAGGGAGAAGCAGGCTTTCTGCCGAGCAGGGAGCCGGACGTGGGGCTCGACCCCAAGACCCCAGGACCATGACCTGAGCTGAAGGCAGCTGCTTAACCGACTGAGCCACCCAGGCGATCCTCGAGTTCAAGACTTTTTTAAAAGGCAGTTACCTGGAGAACATATCTTTGGCACTATACATATTTTGCCTGCATCATGTAGATATCTATGGTAAACACACACACACAGAGCTTTCCTGAAATATAGACATTTAAATATTTTCTGGGTCAAATTCATTTGTTCCTTCAATAACAACACTTGCTTGTAAACAGCTTTTAGCACAGTGCCTGGTTCAATACATATTCACTGAACTAATGAAAATGGTAAAAAATGAATGTCTATTGAACATAAGCTGTGACTGAGGGAGAGATTATATAAAAGCAATGAAAGACAGTTTCTGCTCTAGATTTACAGTCCAACCTCACTTACATAAGTGCAAAATCTTGTCTTGTGTCGTCCCCAATATAGCTCTTTTGCACTAGGAGTTAGCATTTTGTCTGCATGGTGGAATCAGTAACTCCCTATTCCTCAATGTTGTTGATTGTCCGGATCCTCAGAGTAACCAAATTAAGTTGTGAGTTGGGTAAATGGTTGAGTGTTTCACGCACTTCAGGCAAAAATTAAGGGGCCAATTGTTGCTGTGTTCCAGGTTGGCCTGTGACTGTTCATAACACCCACAGGCTTGCAAATTTAAAATCTGTCAAAACGTGTCTGATCCCTACTTTTGTATGGCCTCAAGTGTGTGTTTATAATATGTAGATAAATGTCAACTCATATTTCCAAGGTCAGGGTGGTGGCAAGTTTTATCAGGAATTTGTGTGTGTGTGTGTGTCTACCATAGATATCTATGAGATGAAGGTAAAATATGTATGGTGCCAAAGATATGTCTCTCCAGAGAGAGAGAGAGAGGAGCGCGGGAGTTGGAGGGAGAGGGAGACAGAGAGAGAAACCGAAGCTGCTGTCCTTAGGATGCCTTTCTCCTGTTTGCTTTTTGCCAGCTAGCTATCTCTTCACCCCACAGCAGAGATCTAGGCGAGTACTTGGCTGATTCAGGCACAGCAAGACAAAACCAAAACAGACCTTCAGATTACCAAAATAAGTAGTCACTGGGTGGGAATCCCTGAGCCCAGTCTTCAATTGAGGAGACCTGTCCATGGTCCTGACCACATCATTTCCCTACTCCCTTCCTTCGTCGACTACGGATGCCGCCAGCACCTGAGGAGCGGATGCCTCCGCCGTGGTCCTGGGCCCGGAGAAGCCCCGGGCCGAGGGGGTCAGAGCCGCCCGCACATGCTCAGTGCGCCTCGGGCCAGTCCCGGGCGCGGGTGCCGGGGATCCCCGGACTGGGCACCTGTTTTGAATCCCGGCGCGAGGCTCTGTGGGGGTGGCGGGGTGGGGGCGGGGCGGTGTCACGTGCTGGCGGCAGCGGCGACGGCGGGGAAGATTCCATTTCTTCCGCGGCCAGCAGT